GGACCCGGCCATCCCTGCGGGTGCCCCGGTGCAGCACTGACACCCTGGCTGCTGCCACTGCAGCCTGCTGTGCGCCTCTACGTCCCCAGCCCACGGCCACAGAGCCCACCTGAGCCAGGCGTCCCCACCGCATGGCTGCCAACCCTGCAGCCAGACAGCCCGGACGAGGGCGTGCTGCCCGACGTCTTCTCCATGCTGCCCCACTTTGCCGACCTCAGCACCTTCATGATCCAGCAGGTCATCAAATTTGCCAAGGAGATCCCGGCTTTCAGGTCTGCAGGGGGGGGACAAGTGGGAAACCCCCACTGCCACCCCAGCCCTGACGCCTCCCCTTGCCCCCCGGCAGGAGCTTGCCCATCGATGACCAGATCTCGCTGCTGAAAGGGGCCACCCTGGAGATCTGCCAGATCCAGTTCAACACCGTCTTCAACGCACAGACCCATGCCTGGGAGTGTGGGCAGCACTGCTACACCATCCAGGATGGAGCCCTGGGTGAGGCGTGGGGACAGCGGCACTGGGGAGCAGGGGACACCCACGTCCTCGTCCCAGTTCACCCATCACTGCCGTGCTCTCCCCAGCTGGCTTTCAGCAGATCTACCTGGAGCCGCTGCTCAAGTTCCACATCAGCCTGAAGAAGCTGCAGCTGCACGAGGCCGAGTATGTCCTGCTCCAGGCCATGCTGCTCTTCTCACCAGGTAGAGACCCTGGGGGCTGCGGCAGTGGGGCATCCCCTCAGCCCCGCTGATGGCTGCCCACCCGACCTGCACCCTCAGACCACGCCGGCATCGCCCAGCGGGACTTCATTGACCAGTTCCAGGAGAAGGTGGCCCTGACGCTCAAGAGCTACATCGACTACCGGCACCCCAGGCCTGAGGGCAGGTAAGTGCCAGGGGGAGGCTGGCACAGCTGCGGTACCCTCCACCGCGGTCCAAGCCGGGCATCCCGTCCCCGTCCCCCTCCCCAGGTTTCTTTAGCTGCTGCTGCCGGAGCTGCAGACGCTGAAGGGCGAGAACACGCGGCAGATCCTCCACATCCAGGACCTGTCCTCCATGACGCCGCTGCTCTCCGAAATCATCAGCTAGAGCCCACACCGGCAGCACCCACACGGTGCCCAACCCCCTAGCTGCGAGCACCGGAGCTCACCAGCTACCAGTGCACTTTACAGGGCAGAGTAAAGCTCCTTTATTTTTCCAGGCTCCACGTTTGCGTGCGCCCAGAGCCACCCCCTGCGCCGCTGGAGGGAAACCGAGGCAGAGCAGAGGTGGGAGCAGAGGGAAGCGTGGCGCTGGGGCGAGGAGAGGGGCACAGTTGAGCGCTGGGTCCGATGGAGGCCCCCAGCCCCGAGCAGCAGCCGCTCCTCAGCCCAAAGATGCTAACAGCCACCACATGCTGTCACACAGTGTCCCCTGGCCACGAGGGACCAAGTCCCCACTCCATGGGCTCCCCCGGCACTGCGGCACGAGAGCAGGGCCCGGTTGGCGTCCCCGCGGCACGGCACGGCAACTCCCTGAGCAGGACGGTGGCATGTGCCACCCGCCCCCGCGGCCCCTCAGCCCACGATGACACTGAAGCCACAGTGGAAACGGTTCTTCCAGTGGTTGAGGAAGGCGCCCAGAGCCAGGGTGACGGGCAGGGGGGGCAGCTTCTTCTCCAGCACCCCCCCAACACTCCAATTACTGTCCAGGAGCCCTGCAGGGGGGACAGGGTGAGTGCCCAGCCGCTGCCGGGGATGCCGGATGCCGGCGTGGCTCCTCACTCAC